ATTCTCAATTGGTGGAAAGATAATGCTCATCGGTTTGGTGACTTGTCTGCGATGGCTTGTGATCTACTTAGTATTCCTATAACAACAGTGGCTTCAGAGTCCTCATTTAGTATTGGATCGCGAGTTCTTAACAAGTATAGGAGCCGTCTACTTCCAAAAAATGTGCAAGCTCTGATATGCAGTAGGAATTGGCTAAAAGGATATGAAGCTTATGAACATGGTAAATTGTTCACATTATCATATATTTTGGAGTCTTATGTTTCAATATATAGTTACTAACTTCAGTAACTCACTTGCAGAAGATGAAGTTAATGAGGAAGTAGAGACACTCCCATCATTTGAATCAATTGTGGCTGGTGAAGTTGGAGAACAAGAAGAGTGATTTATTGTCATGTTTTGGTGTTTTTTATTTTATTTACTTTTGGGACTGGAAGCTTTCACAGTTTCACTTGGTGTTTGGTTTTATTTAAATTTGGATTTAACAATTTTAAACATTGGTTATGCACTTTGAATTTATGAAAAACATTTGATTCACTTATCTTTACTTTACGTGCATTGTGTAGCTGTGGAATGAGAAGTTCAAGTTGAACAGATCATTAGCATGTTACTAGAGTCATCTTTACTTTACGAATGTAATGAAAAATATATAGGCTACAATACTTCATGATTTTTGCTTTGGTAAAGTAAAGAAACGTATCATAAACTTTTTGAGTGAAGTTCAAGTTGAACAGATCATGAAGTATTGTAGCTTAGATCATGATTCTTACTTTGGTCAATTTGTGGAAGTTGAGTCATCTTTACTAAACTACAAACACAATTCAATGCGTGATGTTATATTGCATGTAGTGTAGATGCTTTAAACAAGACTAATAGTGCAAGGAGGTGAAGACCCGCGGGCTTGACCGCAAAGGCCCATCAGTTTTGCGGGGCGGTATTGGGCAGCCCATATGGAGACCGCGGGACATCGCGGGACGACCCGCCGCGACCCGCATGAAGTGAAGCCCGCAGCGGTATGGGCCGGGCCGGGACGGAAAGGCCCGTTTGCCATCACTAAATAGATTGTAAGGAGAGTGGAAGACACACAAAGTAAACAAAAAAAGGAGATAAAGAAATCTAGTGATGAAGCGCCGCACTATTACTCTATCTCAAGATCGGGAGGAAAATATAAGATTATAAAAGGAAAAATGGCTACTCAGTGTATCTCAATAGGCACACTTGTGTATATAGAAATTGGGACTTGACAGGTATCCTTTTCGCCATGCTGTTTCTACAATTTGAGAGAACCTCAGCTTCGTTGAGGATTACATCTCAGATTACTATTTGATTGACAAGTGGAATGAGACATATCGTAAAGGTCTCAAGCCGGTTAATGGTCCTAAGTTTTGGAAAAAAATGAAGGAGGAAGCATCTTTGCACCCTCTATAAGTGACCACCAGGTAGACCAAAAGATAAAGCGAGAATTAAGGGTGTCCATGAATCACCTTCTAAGAAGAAGGTTGGCTGTCAGAGAAGAGAAGGGGATTGTGGTATATGTCGTTAAAAGGGACATAATTCAAGGAAATGTACACCTGAAGTATTGTCTTGTTCCTTTTCAAAATCGTTTATGTTGTCTGGTTATAAAATTTATTTTCTCGTAGTCTCATGAGGACAGGGTGAAGAGAAAGCGTCTTAATGAGGAAGCTCAGTTGAAAGGGACAAGTTCAAGCTAAACTACAAGCTCAAGAGGTAACAAATGATGAAGCACAAGAGGAGGCTGAGATGGAAGTTGGTCTCATGGCTCATATAGAAGGAGACGAAGCACATGAGGAAGCTGAAGTTCAAGATGTTTCTTCTACTGCACCACAACCAACTCAAGTACTCCGAAGAAGCAGTCGACTGGCTTCATTGTTGTTTGGTTGATCTTGTTTTAAAATGTTTCAAATATTGGGTATCATGTCTTTTGTGTTTTGAAAGCTGTAAAATGTTTTAAGTCTTGGGTATTAGGTTCTTTTTGAATTAACAATGTGTCATGTCTCGGGTTTACTTTACTTATTTTTGATGTGTGACCTAGTAGTCTCTATGACTTAACTTTTCCTGACATTTGGTTATCTTCAAACCTTCAATCTATCATATTAAGTCTGGTTTTGGTTGAATATGCATGAAAAAGATATAAGATAAATAAAGAAACTTCATTGTTCATTACATATTACTTTTGTTCAACAATGTCATTGATTCAATACATTACGTATGATAAAGAAACAAACTACAACTTCATTGATTCATTACATATGATCCATAACTTCATCTTCATTGATTCAATATATTACATATATAAAGAAACAAATTTCAGCTTCATTGATTCATTACATATTACCCTTGTTCAACATACACAAATTCATTACAAATGATCTCTGCATCTTTTTTACAACAACTTGGTTTCTCCACCTTATGCTGCTCCAACTCCATAAGAATGAAGTTGACAGTGGCAGATAGTTCACTTATCCGTTTCTTTTTCTCAAGAATTTCATCTCGTGCTTTAATCAAAGCTCTCTTTGGCCAACCATTAACTTATTTTCCATCAAGCCACTCAAAGTAAGAACAATGCGTATTCCCTCCTTCCTAAACACAACAAAACATGTTATAACTCATTCCATTACTACTATAACATCCAAAAATCATTTGTTCGATCTACACCTTATACAATTCACACTCAAAGAACCGTCCGCCAGGATCCTTGTTTGTCCAAGCCGTGAAAACCTTTGCTGACAATCGACAAGCACACAGTTTGCGACCACCATAACCCTTTTTCCTATTTCTGTTTGATGACCCCGATTTTAGATCCATCTATCGAACAACTAGTCAATCATCACATCTCATATCATAATTAAGCAAAAGTTAAACACTTCTCTACTGGGTTCTAAGAATCTTACTTGTTTAGTTCTGTTGAATGGTGTCTCTTCACTTTGATATCTTTTAATTTCAGTCTCTAGTTTTCTCCGATAAAGAGGATGAGGAAGGAAGCAGTTAGATCTGCTTCATTTTTTATTTGGGTCGATATTCGGTATTGATTCAACCAAACGGCTAATCACTGCGTTAGACGTTGACGTGGCACTTTAAACTAATTAAATTAAGTTGGTGATGTTGGCTACATAAGAACATAAAGTCTAGGGATGTTATCATGCAAACCATATTCTTTGTATAGTTGAGTGTACATTTCTTTACTTGATAAGGTTGGCCATGTAGTGACCGATAGTTCAGGTAGCTGGCAATCATTTTTCCTTTTTTTTTTCCAAAGAGAGTGATTCATTTTTTTTTTGTTTAATTTATTGTTTATAGATTCTACCAATCTATAGACTCTTTTAACTCAGAGTTGGAAATGTATGGGATATTGAGGACATTGGTTGGACTGTAATTATAAAATATTTACTGTAGAATTTAAACTATAGAATTTTTTAAAATAATTGTATCAAATGTATCTATATAAGTTAAATGAGATAAAAAAACAAAAATTCTTATAGCAATCATACATCAATATTTTTTGCTTTAGAAAATAAGCTTCAGATAGCCATTTTTTGCTTTAATTTTAAAAACTATTTAAAACATAACTAGTGACTTATATGATCGTAGATTGAAAATAATACTAAAAACCATTAGTTACAACCTAACCAATCACTTGTCTTTATAGACAAGTATAATGTGTGAATGATTTTTGTTGTTGTTGAACATGAGTTTATGATAGTTATATAGTTAAGTGGTTGGATGTTGGTGTCTACGGTCTTTAATTATATCCTTAACTAAAATTCCCGTTTCACGGATGTGTATTTTTATATATTTATAAATAAATATTTTTATATAAATGATAATATATATTTTAAAATTTATCCATTTAAATAATTGTTTAATATGACATTTATGAACACAAGCATTTTATACTTTATATTGAGTAGTGATATTTTATTTTGTAAGCCATCAATTTTATCATCCATGTTTTTAAAATATAATCCGTATATCCTCACAAATATATTTTTATTTTCTTATGGATCAAATGTTTTAATAATTTGTAATAAAATTGATGTATATACTATTTAAAATATATGATGCTATATATCTTATATTTTTCAACATTTATCATACTGAATGTACATTGGACTATTATTTATATGAAAATATATGTAACATAATATATTTATATATTAATCTATGTATTATATGAATGATTCTTTTATGTGATTTTTATTTTCGCTATTAGTACTAAATAATAAAAATAGAATTATATAGCTCTAAAAATAATATTGTTCATCAATTATTTAAAGTTAGGTTGATTAATTATTCCAAGACACGTGCACATATATATAATAAAATATAAAAAGACAAAAAAAAAGTATTAGGTTTATTAATTATTGTTGCCATGACTTTTTTGGTATAATTTTATTTTAAAAATTCATTAATCAAACAGAAAAATAAAGAATCCTAAAAGTAGATTAATTAGAACTTCGAAGATATGTATTGAAAATAAGTTAAAAATTAAGGGGTTATTTTTTGTAATTTTTTTAATATAAATATAATTCTGATCCCCAGAAAATTATTACGCACTTTATGTTTAAGAAAATTGATATCCTTTATATAGTATTTACAAAGTATTATATTATACAATTTTAACTATGACATGTGTCACTAATAGAACGATGAACCCTCATGCGTCCGACACCAAAGACCATTATAGGTAAGACATATGGTGACGTCCTGGCAGCGTCTTTGCTCGCTTCGATCTCTAGTTGGACCACTTCGTGAGGTCATGATACTCATATAGATAGAACCTATAGGATTATAATCTCTAATACATGAATATAAACCCTAGATCTAGCAACCATCCTCCCATAAAACAACCCCTTGCCAAGTTGAACAATTGTTTTGTTCATCTTGTTTATTGTTTTATTGATTGCTTTCCTTGTTTACTGCTTTATTATTTATTTACTATTTTATAATTTATTTACCTAGTTTATTAATAACTGTGTAGATCTAATTGGTTCTCTCCCTCCTCGTGATTCGATCCCTAAGTACTACAGCTGAACCTCTTATTTGAGAGAGTAATTTACTATTTAGAGTAATTTGAGTGATATCAAATATAATATTTTAACTCTTACATGTGTCATCACTAGAATGCTTCTCAGTTTATAGAAAAATATGTTGGTCCATCTAACTATATATTACACTTCTTATTAAACTAATCATGAAAATAATTAATAATTTACAATTAATATGCTTCCTTGTTCCCTTAAATAAAAGTTATATTTACCTAATATAATTATATATATGGCAATTAAAGATTTTAATAATAAAGATTTGATAACAATATGTACGTCCTGCATCATTTTATGTTTATTTTATATTATTAAAATTAATTAAACAATCATATTAACCATATAATAAAATTTTACATTTTTCATATATGTTATAATGTGAATTTCTTAAAACAACTACACATTACCAAAATTGTAACAAGTCTCATACTGACAATTTTGTGACCACCGCTTTAAAAAATTTATTGTAACAATATACAAATGATCTTAAATCATATAAGTGAAAAGTCTCATTTAATAGATGTATATATGTATATTAAACTATATACCATATAAAATACACAAATATCTTAATTTAAAAATTTGTATTGAATAAGAACTGGGGACTTGATATTTTAATTTAAAAATTTACAGTAAATTTTCAAGAACGATTAATAAATTATTAAAACTATTAAAATTAAGTCTCACATAGAAAATTTGGTATCAATGGTTTACATTTTTGTTATAAAAAGATATAGATAATAAATCATATGATTAGAAAGGCACATTTAATAGATACCCATATTATAATATATTATATATCTTTGTTGATATCATTTAATTTAATTATATATCATATAAAATTTAAATAAAATTGATTATTTTTATTTATTCAGCATAAAATAATTGTAAATAAATAAATGTGATTATTTAATTTATGTATTTGTGCCAATTTAGTTATATACATAATACTTAATTGTTTTCAGTTATTTGATAATAAATTTATTAGGTTGTTATTTTATAATATGTAAAAAGTAAAATAAATAACAGTATGTAAAAATAATTTGTATATACATTGTTCTTCGCATAAGGCGTATTTCTTAAATTAGCATATATATATATATATATATATATATATATATTTTAAATTAGCATATATATATGTCTGTCTAAATGGCATATTTGCATGTGCATGTGAATGATGAGGAGATAATGCACTGGAAGTAGGTAAAATTTAATTACTAATATAAATAAAAGTCTTCGACCCACTTAACAAGAACCGGACTTAAGCCAAGTGTAACGAAACATTCTTCTTAGATATATATACTTTTCTTTTTTAAATTAGCATATATATGTCTTGTCTAAATGGCATATTTGCATGTGCATGTGACTGATGAGGCGATAATGCACTAGAAGTTGGTCAAATTTAATTACGGATGTAAATAATTCTTCGACCCACTTAACAAGAGCCAGTCATGAGCCAAATGTAACGAAACATTCGGTTTAGGCTATCAAAATGTTTGAAGAAATTACATAGACGAAAGTCCCTAAAAGAATTTTTTTAAGCCCCAAAATTTATTATCAAAAATTAATTTAAATCTTTTGTAAATCGTTTAGGACCCTTTAAACTTAAGGTCGGTCATGTACTTAACCATATGGTTTGACTAAAGTGCCAGCGGGAAGCAATAAAAAAACAAGGCTCATATTCTTAAGGACAGATTCCAAATAATCTTTTCTATTAATTTTACAACATGACCTATTGACGAAGGTTATGTCCAACCATTTATTTTCATATATAACTGTAATTAATTTGGTTAGTGGATAACTTCAGTAACTTCTTTTGTAACCACTTTTTATAATATATTAACTAACCGTCTATTTTAAACGATGTACAACAGTTAAAATATTTACTTATAATTATATGGTATCACAATAGTTAACCACCAATCTCTATAGAATCAAGATAAATAAAAAATGTTTATATACATGGTATCACACCAAGTAACCTGTATATACATATATTTTACTAACAATTCAAACATATTATGAGTATTACTTAAGTCTGTTACAATACATAAAAAATTATTATTATTATTATTATTATTATTATTATTATTATTATTATTATTATTATATATAATCGTTATGACTTAATCTAAATAATTATATTTTTTATGCAGCAATATGAAAATTTGTTTATTTTATTTAGCAAAATAAAAATATTGCACATGTACAATATTTACTCTATTAAATTAAGATTATAACATATTTATATATGCGTAGCCAACAATTACTTTTCCAGTTACCTATTTTAATAGGTAAAAATTAAACCATACATTGGATCAAAATTTACAAATTTTTAATTGCATAAAAAGTTTTTATGTGTAATATTATGTGTAAACATTATCATTATTATATATAAAATGAAATCATGATAATTTAATGAAAAACATATAATTTATCTATTTAATTACTAAACTAAATTGTAACTATACTTTTTTTTTAAATAACTGTTTAAGAATAAAATATAAAAATTATATGTAAAATGGCTAAGGCACGAATACTCCTGGAATTTTAGTCATAGCCCACGAATCACGCCAAGTTTGACCCATTGCGGAACTGGTGCATGTCGATCGATTTTTGAAAACTAAGTTGTGGATGCTGGTGCAGGTTAGGTGTATTTAATGCAAAGCGGATGTTGGTTGGTCTAATTTATATCATGGATATCTGCTAACCCGCAATGTTAAAAAAAATCTAAAAAGGTATATTTTAACAATAATAAATTTAGTTAAAATAATTAAAATATATAAAATATTAAAAATAATTAAAAATATTATTTATATTGTTTTTAGAAAAAAATAATTATTTATATTATTTAATAATATATATGGTCATGCGTGTGCGAGTAAAATATATTCTCTTTGGGGATCAGGTAAATTAAAATTTTGACTCAAAAAATGATTCAACCCGCTGCGGAGAAGGTCGAGCGAGGAGGGGGGATTGATTCACTTCTTAGCACTAGACACGAGTAAATAGTTAGGCAATATCACAAATTAAATACAGTTATCAAATCTCTTTACTAATCACTAAAAAAATATTGTATAAAATATGATTACAAAAAAACATACATATGACTACAAAAAACACAAATATAAAAAATATTTTTTTAAACCAAAAATGAAAACATAAAATATACCCGCCTTTAAAGGTGGGTCAAAATCTAGTTCACCGTTAAACTAGCAACATATATATATATATATATATATATATATATATATATATATATATATATATATATATATATATATATATATATATATATATTTGTCTTGTCTAGATGACATACCAGCATGTGCATGTGAATGATCAGGCGATGATGCTTGGAAGTTGGTCAAATTTACCAATTCACTTTTAATATAAACGGAATGTTAAAATTGTATGTATATGAGTTTACAAAAAAAAAAAAATGTATGTATATGGAGACATCAAACTTTGTACCTCTTTGGCCATAATCTACTTAAATCTATGAAGGCCGAAAGCCTGAGCTCCCATAACTTCCCCTCAGAGCTGCCTCTGAATTTCGACTACTTTGAAGTTTCAAAGCTCTACATGCATATCTATATAATAAGTAAATGTGATTCAGTTTAAAAGTTGATCTCTTGATGCAATAATTAGAAGGCATGCATTCGTTCTACCCGTAAGACTCTCACCATTGATATCTGACGTTGAGTTCTTCATTTTTCACTAAGACTAGAAGTAAAACGAATTATTAGTACTTGTGTTGGCAGGATTTAACTTTTAGGACAGGGAATGATTTTCTTTATATAATCTTCTCTTTATGTGAATATGTATTACCGTTATATACTATAATGGTTTGCATATTACTAACATCGCGTCCATCGTCCTCTTTGTTAGGTCTTTCCAAATTATTTTCTTTATCCATCTCTATGACCAATGCATCACAAATCAAATTTAACTTCATTTCATAATTGAGAACATGAATCTTTTAGTAATGGCATAGAAAGCAACCTGACAAGTGTGAAAAAACAGAAAAAAAAAACAGAAAAAAAAAAACAAACAAAAGCAACCGGAAATAAATAATAATCATAATCAAATGGTTCATTTTTTGGGATTCTTCAAGTAAAAGTTGCGTTTCTCTTCCTCGTCCATAAATGCAGTAACATGATAAGACTTGCCGATTCCCATAGGAGTCTTGAAGTAAATCTTATTTCTTTTTGGCTCCTTTATGCTCATTTTCGCAATCGGTACCCACATATGCATCTGCTTACTCTTCACCCCTTATTTTTAACACACACAAAAAATACATATACAAAGTTATATTAACCTATGGATCCATATATATATATATATATATAATCATAGAAGTAGCTGTACCTGTCATCTTCTTCATACGACCCTTGTCGACATATGCAGTGACCTCAAGATCGTAAGAAACGTGAGTCTTGGTGGCTTCAAAGAAATGTTCGTAAGGAGTGTTTTGCTTCATCCACACGAAACCCGTGTCTCTAACTCTCCCACACTCCACGAGGTTCTTCAAAGGCATCACACCTTTTGGAAACCCTAGCTCCTCTAGAAGCTCCACTGATTTCTTGTAACACTCCTCCTCTCCGTACACAATCACAGCTCCGTCTCTCTCCCCTCCAGCCACCACGACTTCCTCACTCGCCATTTTATCAAGAGATTAGAGAATATTCAGCAAGAAACAACCGTATGTCTTCTTCTGATATGAAGAGATTAATATAGATTGTTGTGGCGAGGCTTGTGGAAAATGTGACGATTCAAATGAAATGCAAAAGAATAAGGGGAGAAATTAAAAGAAGGGACAGATAGTTGAAAGGTGGGTAGAATGAGCCATATATACAAAAAAATACAACTCAGCATAATCTTTATTGTCGATTGTGTATAAAAATAAAATACAAAATATGATAATGTCATCCACATAACTACGTACAAGTAAATGGAGTACTTCGACTACAAAGAAGAGCAAAACCAATTGCAATACCTTCAAGTTACTGTTTATAGAGCATTTTTATGGTTCCATAGAATATAACTCTATTTTAAAATAACAAAAGTTCTTTTCTACATTGACCTACAATTTTTAAGTGATATTATGCATTTACAATATAAAGTAATGTAGGAAAATATTGAATTACAACTGGACAAAAATAAAAAGTAAATAGAAAATAAAACCAAATACAACAAATTTAGAATATGTAATTACGCGCGGAAAAAGAATGTAGTAAATAAAATAAAAGAAGATAACACTGCTTTGAAACATATCTTGTGTGTTTGTAAATTAGATGAACATATAGAATGTTTATGAACATTCGAAATTCCACACACAACCTTAATCCAGACATATTTATGGTCAACTGATTTCAAAGAAAACTCGGTGCGGGCCAAAACGAAAATTATATATCATATGAATTCCACAAAGTTAGTTGGCTTACGGTTTGATTGGTAAATTATTAGCATAATTATTGTGTTTTTTATTATTCAATCAACATCTGCCAAAGAAGTATTTAGAAAAGCATTTACCAAATGTAAATGTTCTATATTTTATTTTAATGTTTTCATACAGAGTTTTTGGGAGAACATTTCCAGATAGAATATATAAAATATAAAAATAATTATATAGAACTAATTTATTTTTTTTAATAATATAAAAAATTATAATCAAAAAATAAATTTATATTTTAAAAATAAAATTGTAACTAAATCTTTTCAATTTTTAAAACAATAATATTTCAAATTTAAAATATAATATAAGTTATATAATTACATATGTCTTTCATTATTTTTAATAACAGAGATAACATAATATATATTTATGTATTATAGATATAAACATATTATTTAGACACTAAGATACAAATTATATACATATATTAATTTTTAGGATAATTTTATATATGAATCGTTCACTGATCTACCAATAAATAAATAATAATAATTTATATAGAATAAATTTATTTATTTAATAATATTAAAATATGTTTATATCCAAAAATAACTTAAGATTTTCAAAATTAATTTTATATTTTAAATATAATTTAGATAATGAATAAAATTCATTTTTTATAAAATATATTATAAATTTGACTGCTAGTGCTCTACCAATCATTTTATTAAAAATTTTAATGAAAACATACAATTTCTGCAGTATACTGGTTCTACATCAATCGAAACTTTAAAACTAACAGGACTTGGCAGGGGACACGTGAACACAGCTCTTGTTAGCAATGGTGGAGTCAGTAATGGGTCATTTGTCAGCATCATCTTTCATAGGGGTCATTTATTAAAATAATTATGTAATATAAGAAAATATTTATTTGGGTCAAAGAAAAGATTTGAACTTGTGATATGGTGATCAAACTCAAGCAAAGGGATTTTAACCAAATGTACCATAAAAAACTAACGTATTTAAGCTAAATTCATTTTTTTGTAAAAGTGATAGGTCAATTTATCCCTCTTCACCACCACATGGCTCCACCACTGCTTATTAGAATATGCATGATCAGAATGACACTTGTAATATTAAGTCAATCACGCAATGCATAGACTCAGGAGACGTGACTACTCATTATTGGATATTATTGTTTTTGGCTTGTATCTGCATTTCTTTTTTTTTTTTTGCGTAAAATAATGTTGCGTTGCACGTTCGTAGCTTGCGTTCTTGTTCCATTACGTATAATACAATCAGTATTTGGTGTTTCCACTGTTTATGTTTTATATTAGACCACCATTATTGTTTGGTATCTCCGAAAAATACCTAACAAATAAAATGTTACTCTATCCGTTTCTTTCTAATTGTCGTTTTAAATTTTTACACACAGATTATTTTTTTTTTTAAATTTATATATTTTCAAAATAAAAACACAATTACCTATACAGCTAACCACATTTCAACCAATAAAACTAAAATAAATAAAAAAAGAATTATGTGTCAAAACTATAAAGCAACACTTATTTAAAACAAAAAATTCTCAACAACGACATGTAAACTGAAACAAAAAGAATAATAATTTAAATATATTTTAATTAATTATTAAATTTTAAATCAAAAAAAATAAACCAATAATAAATTAACATGCGGAAGAAGCAGAAAATATAGGGGAGAATCATCTCTTTAGAAATATCTGTTTCTACTTCACTCTTTTTTTGCAAATATCTTTTTTTTTTTTGATATGTATAGACAATACAAGATACTTGAAATGCGGAAATTATTTTTTTAGAAATTGCACTTAATTACTAGCTAAGAAAAAAAAAATTTATAAAGTAACCAAAATTTCATTCTCTCCCCCTCTTTATTTTCCTATCTCGCTCAACCCTTGTTTTTAAAAACTAATTTTGTTTATGTTTTTGATTACTTTACAAATAACTTTCTTTTTTTTTATAAATTCTATTAGCTGATCCGATCGATTTTGAAAAGAACAAATTTAACGCTACAAAGTGGATTACTCTGAAAGTATACCACAATGTCTGATCCGAGTTTAAACAAGTGTTGGTAATCTAGTGGTAATTTCTTGGGATTTAGTGTGTATCCACATCAGTCATGGATGTCATGGATTCAATTCTCTCTAGAAACTAAATTATCAGTAATTGGTCAGTCTGGACTTCAGTCCAAATGGTTTACAAGATAGTCTATAACAAATGATTGATTTATCCTCTTGATAATAGTGAATGTTCTTAAGAATATATATATTATATAATACAAAGATAGCAAGTTACCTATCCAGAAACTATGCCACCAAATACGTAAACTGCATGTAGAGACAACCTGTCTGGAGGTTTTGCATTTGACCTGCGATTTAAATAACTTACATCTATAACAAACAACCATTACATTCCTAACGCTAACATTCATCAGCAGTGAATTTTGCATTATTACATTTGAATGCATCATGAGTTTTATTTTCTTACAGAAATATAAACTACAAATGGATAATTGAATATGACAAGATAGTATAAATGTTTGTTATACCATTATATGGAATACTTTTTCAAAACAAAACTTATTATATGGAATAGTAGCTGAGATGAGCATGTTGTGGGCAATCGAGAGTATAAAATCCCTGCACTTCGACAACATTATCTTCTCATTGGAGAACAAGGAACTAGTGGCAACAATCACAAAGCCAAAAGCATGGCCATCTTGCAAATTTTACTCATCAAGGCTTCTCCTTCAGCTTAAAAACTTTAAGTCTTGAAAGGTTGAATTTCTTCATCCAAAGGCCCTTACCCAAGTTTCCTAATCGCAAGAAGTGTGACAAAGGAAAAACGCTTCCAATCTTACATTGCTTCCAGGTATCCTTTATGGTTGAAGAAACATTTTACCTAATGTTTTATTTGTCCCCAGGCTTCTGCTTCTCTACTTAACCTTTGTTTTAAAGGTTCATATGTTGTATCAAATGTCTTTCTAGTGTTAAAAAAAAAGATAAGCATGTTGTGCGACCGGATAAAACATTATTTCTGGCCTCCAAAATTTAAGTATTATTATACATGAATTGTATAGTTTCGAATTATTTAATTTTTATATTAATTGTATATTAATCTTGATTAGAAAATCACTATAAGAAAACACACTATATTCCGATGGATATCCGGACGGACATTAACTTTGTCCGTTATATTTGACAGATTTCTGAAGAGATACCGACGAAATACATAATTTCATTTTCGTTAGTATTTCGCCAAAAATTTCCGACGAAATACTAACGAAAGTCTCGTCGTCAAAAATTTCTATCGAAATTCCTACACAAACTTGACGAAAATAATATATCCGTTTTTAGTATTCGTCGTCAAATTCAGAAGAAATTCTGAAGAATTATTTTGACCGTTCGGAACTTTAACATTCGTCAGAATTTCGTCAGAAAATTTCGAGAAAATTCTGATGGAATCATAAATTATTGGAGTATTTTTATAAGTTATTGAATTTATTTAAATTTGTTGGAGTTTTTTAATCACTCAGGCTATTTTCTGCGACCAGAAGTTGTGACTGCGTTTCAAACGCGCTTTTAGCACAAGTGGTGGTTGTGCTTCTCCTTCGTCGTCAATGGTTGAGTTGTTTTCGTCGAGTTGTTGTCTTCACCATTGCTCGATTGGTCAATGCAGAGCCGGTCCTAGGCCCGTTAAGGCCACAAGCCCAATTAAAAAAATGGCTGGAAAAAAAAATTGTACCTGAGGGAGGCATTGAACCCACGACCTGACGTTAGTATAGAATATAACTAACCACTAGACTAGTGACAACTTTTAGAAAATTGCGGCCGGTTAAGTACTTAAAATAATGGTGGCCGCAAGAAGGTGCTTCTTTCGTTTGTTCCCAAGGCCGGCTCTGGTCAATGTCGGTTCATCTCCAAGTGGTCGCTTCATCAAATCTTTGGTGAAGATGATCAACGTATGTATACGAAATATTCGAGAGATTATACAACTAGAAAGTATACATGGAACATTTCTTTGTTCCGAGCTTCTCACTCTACTCTGCTCTCTCTCTCTCTCTCTCTCTCTCTCTCTCTCTCTCTATCTCTTCTTTCTCTTTGCATTGCCTCTCCACCCTCATTAACTTCTCTCTCTAAAACGCTCTTCATCTTCCCGTTTCTGCCTCTCTTTTGCCTTAGAAACAGAATATAAAAGAAGTTTAGAAACTTGGCTAATAGTAACTTGACTCCTAAAAGAGATAAAAACGCATACTTGATCTGCTTCAACCCTAGAAACAGGTGTACTATCTTTTAGCTTTTTATAGAGTACGGCAAGTGGCGGAGTCGGAAACAGCAATAGCCACCGCCCTGAAGACGAAGCGTATTCTCGGGCCTCCA